TTAAATCACATTTTTCTCATTAACATTCGCAGATGATTGGATCGGCTGTGTTCGGATCGGACTGGAAATTGAAATGAAATGCGTGCCCCAAATGCATATGGCAAGCAGTACGGTTTTTTACAGTAAACTGTGGTACAGTGTGCCCCCCGATCCGTTCCCATATGGTGGAAGCCCAAACCAAGGATCAATAGATGTCAGATGTCAATTAAGAGTGGAGGAGTCCACCTTTATTATCGCCGCCTGCAGGCTGATAATTCCGGATTTGTGCAGGTTGCGATTTTAATTCGGTTCGACGCGAATTAGTTCCATCTGCTTGCCGGCCAGACAGTACAGTCAATCATCGCCGGGCGGACAATGGCGATGGCGGACGTCACTCCTTATGGGGCCGTGGATATAGATATAGATATATAGCCATAGATATAGACATGGCAGACCTGCTGCCTCCAGTCGGGGGTCTGCATCAATTGCTGCCATATCCATCTCCGCCACTATTTGCATTCCACAGCCGGACCAATTGCACAAAGATCCCGCCGCAGACGCTGCTGCAATTGATTTTGGTGTGGCGTCAATTGAAATGCACTTCGGAGTCTAGGAGTATTCCAGTATTGGCACGGAGAAAAAATACAGCCAAAATTGGTAGTCCAGCTCATAACAATTGGGCTCTAATCGGTAAACATTATAACAATAACACTCTTAACTTGAGCCTTAAGTGGCTTATCCGCCCACTTTTTATTTAGACAATACCAAAAAATTCTTTAAAATATCTAAAGAAGCACAGTGAAAAATGATGACTCAAAAAAGATGGCTCATCAATGTTTTATTCGATGAAAAAATCTTATCTGTGTCAGCTCTGTACAATTCGTCACTTGAGGGTGATATTTCCAAGGTAAGGAATATTTTAATTAAAAAGGCTCTTATCTGTGACAGCATTTGAAATATTTCCATAATTTATCAGTTTAATAATGATCAATATATGTATATATGTACTTCATTCAGCAAAATATGACTTCCAATTTGTAGTATTTTAAAAATAAAAACGATTTTGCAGTGGCATACAAACATAATTTTTGTAATAAATATATAATAATATTAAACCAAATGTGGAACATTTTATTTGCCATAAAAGAAATGGGACTTTATATTACCGAAATGGCTTATTATTATACCCGTTACTCGTAGAGTAAAAGGGTATATTGTATTCGTGCAAAAGTATGTAACAGCTAGAAGGAAGCGTTTCCGACCCTATAAAGTATATATATTCTTGATCAGGATCACCTCCTGAGTTGATATAGCCATGTCCGTCTGTCCGTCTGTCTGTCCGTCTGTCCGTCTGTCCGTCCGTATGAACGCTGAGATCTCGGAAACTATAAAAGCTAGAAGATTGGCATTTTGCATGTAGATTTTAGGAGTTCCTACGCAGCGCAAGTTTGTTTCAAAAAGGTGCCACGCCCCCTTTAACGCCCACAATCGCTTATATACGATTTTAAAAATTTAAATATTTCGGAAAAGTAAAAATGCAGTTTTATTATGTTTATCAATACCTATCGAAATGTAGAAGAAATTTTTCAAATCGGACCATTCGTTAAAAAGTTATGCGTGATCAAAGTTTCTATCTCCATTTCCCTCGCACTCCCTTTACCTGAGTAACGGGTATCTGATAGTCGGGGCACCCGACTATAGCGTTCTCTCTTGTTTTTAAATTTGTTCTAAACAGGAACAGGTAATTAAGCATTTAGCATGCAATTATGATACCAGCGCCAATAAATAAATATAAAAGTTATATCTCAAGACAATAACGATTTATTAGCATGATATTATTTGTTTTATTTTTATATCTATCTTATATTATGCTAACGATATTCTATTTTAGGATGGAGTTCTGAGTCTGATGTTCCTGTGCATTTTTCTCTGTGTGGGCCTACGTGCTCCAAGTGGCCTGCCACCGTTATATTCAAATGAAGTGGAGCTCACGCAATCACAGGCAACAGACAATCGGGGAAAGTCATCATGGAGACCACCAGTTTGGTCATTATCGGGTCGGGAACGACATGATGATGGGCTGTTGGGACCTTGCCAGCGGAGATGGAAATCGAAATCGGAATGGAAGTGGAAGTGGTCACCTAGCAACAGACGATGCCACGCCCAATTTAAAGTGGCAATCGCCCGTCGAGCGGCAGATAGAACCACCCAACCACCCAACCACAAACCAAAAATCACCCAACCACCCATGAATTTCTATACTATATATATTTATAGATTGGCCCTCGTCGAGTCGCCCACGCAGTCGCGCAGCCAATTTGGCCATCAGTCAATAGGGCTTCATTTGAATTGCCAGCTTGTCTCCAATTGATGATGGGCCACCTCATGGTGGGCTGGTCGGGCCCACGCTAGGTCCTTGCCAGGACCTGCCCCTCATCCCCATCCCCATCCCCATCCTCATCCTCATCCACTCCCATCTGCAATCAGTCGGCAGCATGGCGTAATTAAACCCGCCGCTGTCACAGTTGTCGTCTCGTGGCGTTTATTGGCAACATTGTTCACTTAATCATCCAGCATTTACTACATTTATTAGCATCGATGCACGTCTGTCTATCCGTCTGTGGCCCATGGAAAATCCCTGGATATGACACATGCGCGAAGGGAAATTGTATTCGACAACCGCGGAGTTCCTCTGAACTTATTATCTGCCGGGAAAATTTGTTAAATATTCACATGATGCAAGAAAACTGTCAGTTTCACGATCTGATCTGATCTGATTTAGAGTTTAAATTGCACAAAAGCAGCAGTACATTCATGTAAAATCCATGACTTTCAAAAAATCCCTTAATGCATTTCTAAAATAAATCCCCAAGGGCCTTTTTTTAATATTTAAATACACAGTATAATATAACGTTTTTGATAAGTAAGGGTAATTTCAATATTGCATGCCAGAAGAGGTTGCTGAGAATCATTTGATTTTTTCTATTGAATTGAATACAATTATTATAAGTATACTCGTATAAGTGGATGACCGCTGCAGTTTATCAGTAAAAATTAATGGCGGCCTTCATTTTCTGATTAGACTTGTAGAATCTATTAATTGACCACTTAATGAACACATAATATAGGATTTCCTTGATAAGTCAGAGACATAACGCAGGTACACAGACAAAAAATTCAACAATCTCACAAATCAAAGAACCTATTTCTATCGTTTTATTTTTATCAGTCTATAATACATGTATTTTTTAATTGAAATAAGTTTAGTAGTATTGTTATGCTAAATTAAAGAGCCGTACACTATTTTTGCCTTTATTCTTTAATTGAGTAAGTTATAACAGTTTCCGATGTTTATTTTTTAAGAAAATATAAATAAAAATTGAAAGATTCTTTAATAAATAAGTTCCCACCCATGGTAAAAGTATTGGATAATTAGTTTTAAAAACTAATTCTGTTTTAATTAATCAATATGTCTAACCTAAAAATTAATACAGAAATGCGGTAAAGAGATCAAAATCAGCATTGTCAAGAAAGTTTCAATAGTTAATTGTGCCGGGTTAATTGTCCCCTTCAAGGTAATCCAGGAATTACCTGTTATCATCTCCTTGGTTTTCACCTCATCAACAAAGAGTCATATTAGGCGCTTATTTTCAAGTACTCCTTCGATAGCTTTTAATAAGATCAATATTTATATTACCATTATTTTATCAACAAATGGCATACTTAATTTTCTTACTATGAACATTGTTTTAAATAAGTGTAAAATATATAATATATTTAATAGAGTCGGAAATGTGCTCTTCACTGCTTTGCAAACTTTTGACTGAAATTACAATATCCTCTGCTAGGTATAATAACTAACTCATGGGCCATAAATTGAATCCAGATTTTTGGGTTTATGAAAAGGAGAAATGGTTCATGGAAATTTCAAAAAGTTGGATTTTGCTTTGCTCTGTAATCAAAACAAATGAGAAAACATTGCCTCCTTTTTAAATATATGAATTTTTAATTAAAACAGTTGCTCAGCCTTCGGCAATACCTATATTTAATTAGGGGTTATCTCTAGGACAGGGATCCAGCCCAAAAAAAATCGTTCAGGAAAAAACCAAGAGTAGAATGATAATCAGAAGAGACGTTTTAAAATGTTGCGATTTTAAACTTATATATTCTTATTCTTTGGGAGTAATGGTTAGTTATCAACACATTCAGAGCTGGTTCTTTTGATAATGGTGCCCCCAGAGGTATACCTCATAAAAAAAAGCAAAAGCTAAAAAATAATTTATGAGCACTTTGCCTGATACGCAGGCAAACATTTATATATGTATATATTTATATTTGTCTAGAATTAAGGGTATTTATTTTGAAAACATGATCTCATCGTTCACTTGCTATTGGGTTTTACTGTACACAGGAATATGCTGGCAAATACTTCATATTTGTATAGAATTAAGTGCATTTATTTTGGGAACATGAACTAATGCTTAACTTGTTATTGAGCTTCACTGTAAGTTAGTCTATAATCTAAAGCTCTAGATTATTTAGTACCAAATGAATAGGTGAAAAAGCAGTCTAAAAAGCTTTGGCTATCTTTCAAGGTTAACACAATTAATACACCCAACCAAAAATGATAGTACAACTTGTTATGTTCGCAAAACAGGTTTTTCGCCCATGTGTACTCTGAATTTAATAGTTGATGGGCTAAATTAACATTTATTTTATTTTCTGGGGGCCTGACATATTTTCGTAATTAGTACAGTAAGGGAATTTATCTGTTCCAATAAAAAAGTTTTCTAATGTGTATTTATTTGTGTTTAAAATCATTTATTTGTTCATCAGGTTTGTTGAAAGCTTTCCGCACACTCGATTTGTTGTTCAAAAAAGTAGTTCAAAATGTTTGGAGTACAATGTGCCGTCTGAAAATCGGCAGTTTTAAATTTCGAAAGTTTTTCAAAATTCCAAAATAGCCAAAGATTTCTGCAAGTGTAAACGATTTGATAACCCCCATCAAAAGCTTTTTTTCTGCGCCAGTCGTCCATCGGTTGTTGGCATTTGCAGTCCGATTTTTGCTAACCAAGATCGAAAGATCGGAGATCAACCTGCTGTCAGGATGAACCGTCGTCTTCCAGGAGCCTTTAACCAGTGCCACAGGCTCCTCTTTGCAGTAAATAACCATGCAACACCCGCCTTTTCCACCAGATTCCTTTCAACATCGCGAGTGAACCACGAGCGGCAAGAGTAAGTTTGTTTATTTCGATGTGAAAGTTTTTGCGAATTCCCGCGAATCGAATGGCATGGCAAGTGCTTGTGGTATATCTCTCGTATAAAAACAAATTGAATTAGTGTGTTTTAGGTGGGGTTAGCAACTAAGTTCCAGGCATATCTAATTAATGGCGATAACGAAGAGTTAAGTTATGGGTCAGGGTTCGATTACGATGATATATTAGCACTCTTTGGAGGGTGTGGTCATGCGACTGTCCCTCCTTGAAGATTCTGTCATAAAGAGTACCTGAAATCAAAACCCCTCTGATTTAAATCTATCTTTCTTCCAGATGTCAAGTGTTAGTTGTGGGTGGTGGTACTGGTGGATGTGCCATGGCCGCCAAGTTGTCCTCGCGTCTTGGCAGCAACAAAGTAATTGTCTTGGAACCCGAGGAAGTAAGTAAGACCACCCTGTGACTAATCTTTCGTATTAATCATATAACATGGTACTTCCCCGCAGAAACACTATTATCAGCCGATGTTCACTCTAATTGGAGGAGGTATGAAGCGACTGGACCAGAGTCACAGACAAATGAGTGAGGTTTTGCCCAAAAAAGCCAAATGGGTGAAAGAAAAGGCCGTGGAATTCGATCCCGATAATAATTCTGTTAGCACTTCTGGAGGCAAGACGATTAAGTACGATTTCCTTGTCATTGCCACAGGAATGCAATTGAAGTATGAAAAGGTTAGCTTAAATATTATATGTTTTGAATATCCTAATAGAAAGGTATTTTCCAACAGATCCCTGGACTTGTTGAGGCACTGGAGACCCCGGACAGCAATGTCTGCTCCATCTATTCTCCCAAGTACGTGGATCACGTGTATGAATGCCTGCGTAGGACATACAAGGGAAATGCAATCTTCACCTTTCCCCATTGTCCTATCAAATGTGCAGGTGCTCCACAGAAAATAGCATACATATCGGAACACTATTTCAGGAAGGTGTGTATATGAACAAACTAAAATGGTAAGGACACTAACCAATGTTCTCCTTTTCCAGATGGGTCGCCGCGACAACGTCAATATTATTTACAACACATCTCTTCCGGTGATTTTTGGTGTTAAACATTATGCGGATGCATTGATGAAACTGGTTAAGAAACGAAATATCACACTTAATGTTAACAGAAATCTCGTCGAGGTCAGACATAGGGACAATATAGCTGTCTTCGAGGATCTCACAAAGCCGGGACAACTCATCGAGGAAACGGTAAGAAATTAGAGAACATAGGGTCTATTTAAAGGGTTTATCATATCATAGATAAGTTGAATTTCATTTGTTAAGATTGAAATTGGTATGAGTGTGTCTAAAATGGAAATCCACTTTGGATGGCTTTAAAAAGTTGAAGAATTCAATGATTTTAACAAACATTATTTAATCGATTTTTAACGTTTTGAGTTTTCCTACTAATTGCTACCATTCTTAAGGGACTACAAATTAAATAGTTTATTAATGTTTTACTTTTTAACGATGCTTTCATCATTCGAGTTAAATTCAACGACTACACCTCGGTTTTATCTAACCCTCCCTTTCACTAATATTTACTTAACCTCCTCCTTTAGTACTCCTTGCTCCATGTAACGCCACCGATGACCGCTCCGGATGTTGTGGCCAACTGTAAGCAGCTGGTCACCCCCACCGGATTCGTGGACGTGGACCAGACGACCCTCCAGCACAACAAGTACAGCAACGTGTTCTCCATCGGCGATTCGTCATCCGCCCCCAACTCAAAAACGGCGGCGGCGGCAGGTAAGATTTGGATTCCGTTGGGAATCGGAGACGGAATCGGAATATTCAATGATCTGGAATACGAAATGAGATTCATCCGCTTGCAGCTGCCCAGTCACCGGTGGTCTTTAGGAACCTGATGGCGGCGATCGAGGGCAAGAGTGCCACGGACAGCTACGACGGGTACTCCTCCTGTCCCATCGTCACCGGCTACAGCTCCTGCATCCTGGCCGAATTCGACTACACCCTAACCCCCGTAGAAACATTCCCGGTTGATCAGGCCAAGGAGAGGTATTCGATGTTCTTTATGAAGAAGGAGCTCATGCCGGTGCTCTACTGGAAGCTGATGATGAAGGGTTATTGGAACGGACCGGCACTCATGCGGAAAATGTTCTCCATTCTAAAGTTTAATAAAAAGTAAAAGTGACCTATCTGAGTTTTGATTTTTTAAAATTCCCGCTAAGATTGCCATTCACAGCGATAATTTTTGTTACTTGCAATTGCAGCCCTGAAAAAATACCTTTTGTACACTGCGCGTTACATTAATAGGTTCAAAGGGACTAAGAAATATATAAAATAAGTTTAAATCCCATATTATTGAAAAAGTTAAAGTGATAAATTCGATTTTACATCGTATAATTACTAAGGTTTAATGTACAGCTCCGACAGTGAATCTATTCAAGTGACGCAAAGTGTACATAACCCAGAATAATTTTGGTATATATCAAATGCAAGCTAGTATGTTTCAGCATTATTCGCTTACACGAATTCGGTCACTCTAAAACAAAGCGTGGCGTCGCTTGGCGCTGGAAATTTGAAGGTAACGTCCGAAAAGAGAGATCGTTTTGAGCTCCAAAATAAGCAGAAAATCCACCCAGGACCTCCATTTAGTGGTAAAAGAAAGCATTAATCATGAAGGCAGTGTAAGTATACTACCAGAACTAAAAATATCGTCCGTAGGACTAAAAATTTGCATCCACAGACCCCGGACGCCGATGCGCGTCATCCCAAAAACACCGCGGGTGCAAAAAACTACAGAAAAACAAAGGCGGGATACCTCTGATAAAGGCCGGGATCCCGTGAATGTGTTCTGCCGCGTCCGACCACTTCAGTCGGATGGGGATCTCACCTCACTGAAGGTCAAGAACTCCACTACGATCGCCCTGCATCCGCAGGATCAGCTGCTGCAGCACCACAAGCCACACAATGGCGCACAGCGCGAAATTCAGTACATCTTCAAGCACGTCTTTCAGCCGGAAGCCACGCAGCAGGACGTCTACGTATCGGTGGCGCAGCCACTGGTGGAGAATCTCCTGAAAGGCCGGGACAGTCTACTCTTCACCTATGGAGTGACTGGAAGTGGCAAAACGTACACCATGACCGGGAATTTGCGACACCGTGGCATCCTTCCGCGCTGCCTGGATGTGCTCTTCCGCACCATCTCCGATTATCAGGCAAAGAAGTTCGTCTTCCTGCCGGAAAAGCCCAATGGGTTTGAAATCCTGTCCGAGGAGGACGCCCTTCTGGAACGACAGAAGGAGATGAACCAGCGCTTTGCAGGCGCAGGCCGATTTGCCTTCCGGCACAAGGATTCCGATCCGGAGATAGCATCTCAGGCCTCCGTGGAGCCAATTCCACTTCTTGGTTTGGATGAGGATAACATGTACTCGGTGTTTGTCACCTACACTGAGATTTATAACAACAGCGTTTACGATTTGCTAGAGGATTCTGGCAAACAAGAGTGAGTAATGATATCTAGATTGTATACATTCCTTAAACAATCTAATAACGCCTTTAACAGGACTTTACAGAGCAAAATCATTCGCGAGGATGCCAATCGCCGCATGTTCGTTCATGGCGTTACTGAAGTAGAGGTCAAGACGGTGGAGGAGGCCCTCGAGGTCTTCCAAATGGGGCAGAAGCGCAAGCGCATGGGGCACACAGTCTTAAATGCCGAATCCAGTCGAAGTCACTCGGTGTTTAACATTCGCCTGGTTCAAGCGCCGACCGATAGCCATGGTGAGAATGTGGTTCAGGACAGTCGGAACATAACCGTGAGCCAACTGTCCCTGGTGGATTTAGCGGGCAGTGAGCGCTCCTCGCGCACCAAAAACACCGGCGTGCGACTTAACGAGGCGGGCAAAATCAACAACTCGCTTATGACGCTGCGGACTTGCCTGGAATATCTACGCGAGAACCAGCTTGCAGCTGGCAATGGGTTGCCGCCGAAGAAGATACCCTATCGGGAGTCCAAGATTACACACATATTCAAAAGCTACTTCGATGGTGAGGGGCAGGTGTCAATGATTGTGTGTATCAACCCGAGGGTTGAGGACTATGATGAGAATATTGTAAGTTTTGGCTTTCATCCAAAGAATAATGTTTTCTAACATTCCCTTTCCCCCTTCAGCAAGTGATGAAATTTGCCGAGATGACCCAGGAGGTGCAAATAGCTAGAGCAACTCCCATGAAACAGGATTTGGGTCTGACTCCTGGCCGTCGCAAGGCCAACAAGCTGTTCAAGATTGCTATTAACAATCTGAATGAGCTGGGCATTCCCGAGGCCAAGGATTTAGAGGTGGATGTAGGACTAGTGTACAGTTTGGGCCCAGATTTCCCCGCCTATCAAATGGACAGTCCCGAGGCGGAGGTTAAGATCCGGGAGTTGATGTACTATCTTGAGCAACGCATAGAAAAGCGCAAGAAGCTGCGCGCCAATATGGATTTTAAATGTAGGTCTCAGCCTTCTTTCACATATTAAAAATTAATTGCTGATTGATTTTTTTACCTTTAGGTGACAGCTTCCGGCAGATGCTGATGAATCTGGACCGCGACAATCTACAGCTTCGTACTGAACTGGCCTCGTTGAAGGCTGTGTACAAACAGGAGCGCGATCGGAGTGCTGCCCTCGAGAAAAAAGTCCGTATCCACGAGAGCTCCATCGATGTGCTTAATAACACGTTGAGCAAGCGGGAACGGCAGGTCGAGGAGCTGACTTTCAAGCTGAACGAGAAAGAGAACATGCTGACCCAGAAGGAGCACGAGAAGGAGAAGCAAAAGAAGAAGTTCAGCTCCAAGCTGGCCGTCGAATCGGACAAAAACAAGCGCGAATTCGAACTAAAGCTGCGGGAGCAGCGCACAAAATTACAGGAACGCATGCGCATCAAAGACGAGAAGCTGCGCCTGGTCTCCAACATTCTGCAGTCCGAGGATCTGCCCAGTTTGCCGCGTTCCCAAAGCTCTGAGGATATACTGAATGAAAAGGATCGCGGGGCATTTACAGTGCGAACAGAAACACTATCAGTCCCGGCTACACGAACCGATATTTACGCCACACCTCGTCATGTAAGAAGCCGCTGCTGCTCTTTAGATTTATTGTTGTAATATCATTTTATTTCACTTTTATCCTAACAGGGAGCAGCTGCAGCCAACAACCGTCATAGACGCTCTCGTTCCGCCGGCGACAAGTGGCTGGAGCATCGGGCCGCCAATCCCGTGCCCCTTGGAACCATAATGCAGCCGTTTCTAAAGAATCGCAAATCGGTGACTAAACTAACCGACATGAAGGAGCTGACCGCTCACGGAGCCAACAAGTATTGCCTCGTCTCACAAGACGCGGATACTGATGGCGATGTGGAGACCAAGCTGTACAAGGGCAACGTGATCCCCACCTGCGGCGGCGGTGCCCAGGTGGTGTTCAACGACGTAGAGTGCCTTAAGCAGAAGTCTCCTGTTCACTCGCCCACCCGAAAGCGTCCCAGCAATGGCACCATTTCCGCTCTGGGAGGCGGTGTAGTGCCCAGCACGGTCACCTCGGTCCAGGACGTGGCATCACGCTGCAATCTCGGCATCGAGGGACACAGCAGCAAGAAGTCAAAGATCTAAAGAGAATATTTGGACACAACGTTGAATTTTTTAAGTCAAATACCCTTTTAGCTTATAGTAATTTAGATTCACTAACTTAAATTTAAGTTTATTACCCATTATGGTTTTGGAGTTGAATCCCATTGAAGTGATTTGTTCTATTAAAGCCAAGTTAATCTGTATAAATAACCCCGTAAATGAATTCGCAATCCCTCGCAAATGGAAATTAACCGGAGGATATCTGCTTAGAACTATCGTTAAAAACTATACAAGCATCGTCCATTCTTAGGCTTGCATTAGTTGTACCATAAAGTATTGAATATTTTATTGTTTTTTGGCAGTCCAGTTATAAAATGAACAAATAAAGTGAAATTATGCGCATATATACATTATATATTCATATCAACATTATTTTTAGTGTAGAACTGTTGAATAAATGGGCTAACAGCACATATTAACTTTGTTTTTTATAGAAAAAAGTTTAAACAGAAAAATCTTCAATTTTTTCATGTGAAATTTTTCAGTTTGAAATTTTTGTATCAGAAATGGATTCTCATTTTGCTTTTTCAATTTAAAAGATAAGTTTATGGTTTCCGCCCCCATTTAACAATACAAATTACTTAAATATGGATGGTTTTAACTATTTTTATTATTATTCCTGCGTTTATTCAGATTTATGCTTAAACCGATAAATTTTATTGAAATACATACGGTACCATTACACATATATATTTGTAGATTAATTTCAATTACTAATAAATCAGTCTATAATTAAAATATATGTTCGCTTAATGATTTCACGTGTGTGTGAGTGTTGTGTTGCAGTGTTGTTGTTGCAGTTGTTATTTGTTGTTTTATGGGGGTAGCTGCTGCTCGATGAGTTCGGCAGATGACTCTTAAACGCTATGTACGGCAATTGTGGCAGGTTCCTGGCAAATGAGGAATTTCGAATTTGGAATTGGAAGCCAATCTCGCTAACGCTAATATACGACAAAAAGTCAAATCAAATTTAAAGAGGAAACATTTCAATTAGAACAGGACAATAGAATGAAGGTAACTCCAAGTACATTTAAACAAAACAAGTTGGACGAAACGAAACCACAAATGTAAACATAATAAAAGGCAAACTCAACTCAAGTGCTGGGCCAATATTAACATAATCCATCTTATCCGAATTCCAGTTAAACAAATTACAATTTAATCAATATAAAGCTCTGTTTTCATAAACGTTCTCTCGAGTTCACACGACGCGGAACAAAGTATTTGCATCTGCAACTGTATATATCTGCTGTTTATAATACGTAATCATAATATTATCATTAATTCAATCGACTCTCGCCATATGGATAATCGTGATAAAAACTAAGAAGCGAAATTATTCTACGGTGGAAAACGAATTTTGGCTATGAAGCAACGTAATTAAAGAAGGTATTATTAACAATACACACTCACAGCCACAGCCACACCCCAGCCACCCTACCCTTCTCTCCTTTTTACCATTCCTCCTTAATTGTTTTGTGTGTTTAGTGTTAAGTGTGTTCGGTGTATGGTGTGTGGTGTATG